CCCCCCCCCCCTGTCCTGTCCCCCTTCTTTTCTTCGCGGGCTTGCCAGCTGTGCTTGGTGCCCCTTCTTGACATGGCCAGTTGCTGACTTGCTCCGGGTGCGATCGCGGCGGCCGATGACTGCTGGGCCTTTTCTCGACGCGGCCGCCCGCAGTCGGTGGTTCTGGCGCCCGACGTGTTCAACATCGAGGGCAAGACCATCACCTTCTTGGATGGTCGGTCAATCATTGCCGATGACATCATTCTGGCCACCGGGTACCAGGTATGTCCTGCCCCCGTCGATGCACCTTGTGTCCGGGCCGAGGGACGGGGACCCGGGAGGAGGCGGGGCTCCCCATTTCAGGGCAGAAGGGCGGGACAGGTGGGGAGGGGGGGGGGGCGGGGTTCCCCCGGCACGCAGGTCCCTTTTCTGTGGGCTCCCTTCTGATGCTGCCCATCCGGCATAGATCGCCTTCCCCTTCATCGATGCCGAGGATCCGGCCCTGGCCGACCTGCGGGTGGAGAAAAACCGCCCGAAGAACCTCTACAAGTTTGTCTTCCCCATTGATCGGCCCCACTCGACGCTGGCGTTCATCGGCCTGATCCAGCCCTTCGGCGCCATCATGCCGGTCAGCGAGATCCAGGCCCGCTGGGTGGCCGGTGTCCTGCGCGGCGCGCTGAAGCTGCCGAGCGTCGTGGAGATGCGCCGCCAGACAGACGCCGAGCTGAAGGCCATGGACCAGCTGTTCTACGAGTCCGACCGTCACACCATCCAGATTCCGTATCCCGCCTACACGGATGAGATCGCCTCGATGATTGGCTGCATGCCGCCGATTGGCTCGCTGCTGCTGAAGGATCCCACGGTGCGTGTGCTCCTTCTGAGCGGGGCTTTACCCACCCGAGGGGGGGGGGGGTTGCGAGGGACCGCTCATCGCTCCGACACACAGGAGCCTGCGGGTGAAAGTGAAAGTGAATGGGAATGAGAATGATGTGTGCATGTGTGTGCACACCCCCCTTCCGCCATGCATCCTTTCACTGACTTTGTGTGTCCACGCCCATGGCGCATTTCCCGCGATGCCGTGTCACGGGAGACAGCTCTTCTTCCACCTGGTCTTCAAGGGCAGTGTCCCGTATGCCTATCGGCTGGTGGGCCCGGATGCCTGGAAGGGCGCCCGCGCCGCCATCACCCAAGCCGGCCAGCGGATGCTGCCGGTGCACATGCGCCTCACCCGGGACACCATGGCCACCGAGATGCAACGCCTGGTCGATGAGACAGGATCCGCGGTTACCCGGCAGATCTCCAGCATTCTCACCCTGCTGGCGCTGGTTGCCGGGGTCCTCTTCACATTCTATCGGTTCGGCTTCCTGACCGGCTGTGCGGCGGCTCTCCTTTGCGCGTATGGGCTCACGGTCTAGTTTCGATGTGTCGCCCTTGCCCTCTCCCCCCCCCCCCCCCCACCACCAGCATCGCCATCCTCTTTTACTTCCCCCTCAGCCAGCGGCGCGACATGTACTCGGCGCCATTTGCCTCTCCTCCCCCAACAGAACCCCCTTTCCAAGAGCAAGGTGCAGGGGGGAGAGGAAAAAAAGGCAGAAGGAGCCCATGGGCACCACACGCTTGCCGGGGCCAGGGAAAAGTCTATAATGTATTGGGGGGGGGGGAGTGGGGGGGAGTGCCACAGGGGAGGGAGCGAAGGGAAGAGCAAATGCCACCAGTGAAGGCGGGGGAAAGAAAGGTACCTTCACGGAGAAACACCCAACAGGGCCGGGGAGGGCAGGAGGCAAAGCAAGCGACAAGAGGCAAGGAGACCAGGGGGAGGGGGAGGGCGCAAGATACCTACTCCTGGTCCTCCTCGCCGGTGGCAGACGACGACCGGGCGGCGACACGGCGGCGACGGGCGCGGCCACGCACCGGGGCACCCTCGTCATCTTCCTCGTCGTACACCGTCGGGAAGATGTCCTCCTGGAAGCGACGCGCGCTCGGCCGCGGCGGGGGGTCCGGACGCCACTCGTCGGCGGCCTCCAAATCCGACAGAGACTCCGTGGAAACCCGGAGCCCAGCGTCGCCGAACTTCTCCGCGTACATGGCATCGAAGGCCGGGTCGTACTCGGTGGCGGCCGGGCCGCCGAGGGCGGCGCGCTTCTGCCGGGTGATCTCCTGCGCCATGTGCAGGCGTCGCATGATGTCCTCCTCATCGTCGGACCCCGGGGGCTGGGCATTGTCATCGCCGCTGCCCTCGTGGTCGCTGTCGCTGTCAGAGGGCACGCGCCTCTCATCGGCGCTGGCCACACGCATGGACGCCAGGTAGGCGCGCTCCATCTCCTTGGACATGGGGAAGACCTCGTTGATGAGGGTCTCCGCTTCGCGCATCTCGGCCGCCTCGGCCTCGCTGACATACGACCGGCGGGCACCATCCTCATGCAGCAGGGCATCCAGCTCCGACGAGAACCGGTGCTCCTCGGCGCGTTCGATTTCGGCCGCCGACCGGACCCGCACACGGGCCCCCTTGTCGGCCCGGGCGCCCGGGCGACGCCCGGCCTCCTGCAACTCGCGAATCGACTCGCGCAGCTTGTCCAAGCTGGCCGGGGCACCGGTCGACAGGATGGCCTCGGCATCGGCCACACTGCGCAGGTGGCGCTCATACTCGGCCTTCTCCTTGACATAGCGCCGGCGGATTTCATGGTACCGCGGGTGGTCCGGGGTGATGAGACGCCCATCGGCCATCCGGAAGACATCGGAGCGCATCTTACTGCGGATGCGCTGCTCGCGCTGCTCCTCCTTCAGCTGGTAGGCCTTCATGGCCGACTGGAAGATCTCCGGCATGGTGGGACCCAGCAGGATCTCCGACAGGACGTTGATCTGGTCCTGCACGGCCGTCAGGCTGGTGTCGCCAGTCGGGCGCCCACGGCGGAACTGCTCCTCATCCTCGGCATGCAGCTCCACCAGATGGCGCAGGTAGCCCACGAGCGCCGCCTTCCGGTGGGCCTCCACCTCCTCGGCCGACCGGCACACACGAGCGGCGATCTTGCTGGCCACATACTTCTCCAGCAGCCGGTCCACATAGGCACGGTACTCGGCCCGCGGGTCGCCGGTCAACATGGGCGACACGGTGCCCTGGAAGAAGTCCGACTTGCGGCCGGCCGCCTCGATGAAGTCCATCTGGTCCCCATCGAAGTCATCAATCAGCTCATCCACGCCGAAGGAGTCCAGGAAGGAATTGGCATCGGACAGGATCTTGGCACTGGCGTCGTAGATGATGTGGAGCGACGGGACATACTTCATCTGAACATGGTCACCGATGACATACTGCAGCTTGGGGATCATCAGCTCGATGCGGGCCTGCATGGCTGCGATGACACCGGGCTGCGTGTGTGTGTGTGTGTGTGTGTGTGTGTGCGTGCGTGCCGATGGGCGGAGTGCAGAGTGTGTGTGGAGGGGAGGGAGACAAGGGCGGCAAGAACGGCCGGGAGAGGGAAGGAGAGGAGACCCTGTTAGACACCAAAAGTGCGATCATCCGCCCACCACGGACATTGCCGGTCGTGAGGCGAGATATAAAGAACAGCAGTAGCAACAGCGGCCGCCGCAGCAGCGGCAATAATCAGCGGAAAAGAGGCCAGCAAAGAGCTCCAGAGGACGCACCAGATTCTCGACCTTCGCCGGATTGAGGGACCGATCGGCCTGCAGCAGAGCCAAGCCCAAGACATCGTGGGGCTTGGTGTCATACCAGTGAATAAAGGCATTCGACCCATCCGAGGACATCTCCACATGGCGGATGCCCACATTGCCGGTCAGGGGCGGCATCTGGTTCTCCGTGCTGGAAGACAGGACCTCATTGAGGGAGTCGCGAATGACCACGCCCAGACGTCGGACATGGTTGGGCACATTGGACCGGGAGTTGAAGGCGCGGCTCTGCGAGGCCGACTGGCCGATGCTCGACTCGATCTTGTTGATCCGAAGGTTCATGTTGATGCCCTTGGTCTGCGGCGCGGCGGCGATCGGGTGACGGGTGGGAAGTGTGCGCGGATGGGCCACCACGCAAGAGGCAAGTCAGTGAAAAGGGAACCGGGAGGAAGGCTTATCAAGGGACAGCCCCAGTCATCAGGGGGGAGAGAGAGAGAGAGAGGGAGAGAGAGAGAGGGAGAGAGAGAGAGAG